GTGCAGATTGACGAATTCTATGAAATTACTATGAAAATAGTATGAATCACGGGACGTCTGCGCGGGAATTGGTGGTGTACAGTCACTACAGTATACACTCTCTTTTTTCGAATTCCCGATTTTTGCGCCAGGGACTGCTTGCGTATTCTCCACTCACTTCTTCCCTCTCCCCTCTCTTTCGCTTTCTTTCTCTTTCTCTTTCTTTCTGTCTCTCTCTCTCTCCCTCTTCTCTCTCCTTCTTCATTCTTTGGTCATATTTCCACAATTCAACTCGAGGCTTTAAGCCGCTTGTTATCGATTGGTTCACGGACCGTGCATGCTATGTACTCTCCTTACCGATCAGGCGTTTTGCACAGGGCTTGCTGATGTACTGAGACCAAGTTATCCAACTGGATCTCTTATTGACTAACTATTGACAAGACTACTGACGAGCCTATTGACTAGACTATTGACTACCTTCATCCCCCGAATACAACGTACGGTCGTTATAGCGGTATCTAGACTGAAAGATGCCTCAAATACAGATACAATGGCCGTCCGTTGTATTCGGGGGAAGAAGGTAGACTGTTGACTAGACTATTGACTAGACTATTGACTAGACTATTGACTAGACTATTGATCCAACGACTATTGACTTGTCTATGGTATTGGAACAGCAGGTTCGTGACCGTTGGTGTAGGAATTCCAAATATGTTTTTTTCTGGAAACACTACGATCTGCTGCTCAAATGGAAATGGTTCCTTGTGAAGTTTCTATTGGTATTATACTATTATTTCGAAATACCCCATGGAGCTGGTTTGCCTCTGAAAACTATACAATGTATACATAGTTCAACTGTCTGAGTCAGACTAATAGCGTATCCGAGGCACGGGGTTCTGTGGTGCACGGGATGCAATCATCGATTCATCGGTCTTAAGCTTCGTACACCTTGTTTGGGAGAAAAGTTAAAAGATAAAATTTACTCCGTTTTGTTTACTTCGTTGGTATTCAGAGTCTTTTCAGACCGTATTCTGCTTGACGATAATTAGTAACCGGACCGTTGGCTGACAGAATGGAAGCGACTGGAATGGGTCAAGAAAATAGAAAAAAGAACTGTTACAATGCAAACATTGAAAAAAAAAAAAAAAAAAAAGCTGTCCTTCCAACTCCATCCGGACATCCGCTAGAACTGGAACCATGCAGAGAAAGAAGATTAGCATAGGCCTTGCGGACTCAAAGGATGACACGCACAAACCGAGAAATTTTCCTAAATTAAAACGAAAAAAAAGAAAAGAAAAAGGGAAAAAAAAAAAAAGGAGAAAAAGGAAGGCGACTGACTACTAGTCAATCCAACCCGTAAACGTTACGTCATCATCTCTGACTCACTCTCCGCAGACCAACGAAAGAAAGAAAGCCTCGTCAAAGCTCGACTGAAAAGAAGAGACTATTGCTACAAGATGGTAACTGCGACGTCGCTCATCCCCGTCAGCCTCGTTGGCTACTCCCTCCCTTCGCTCCCCCACGACACAATCACCGAGAAAGGGAAGGGCGGTGAAGAGGTTGAACCTGGTTGGTACAGCCACGTACTATTGAAAAAAAAAAGGAAAAAAAGCCCCACGTTCAAATCCTGATACAATACAATCAAATGACCAGAATGAAATCATTCTGAAATACCTGGGCCCGTCAGTTCCACCGAAACGAGAGCCACCATCAGAGCCGTTAAGGGGTAATTTATGAATTTTATAATTTGCACCTAGAGTGACCCATCCGTGTATTAACGTACAAATTAGAATTATACTCTAAGTAAGTCAGCACCCAACGAATGGAACGTGTTGCAAGAGTAGACCATCAAAAAAAAAAGACCTGCGTCCTTGGGGACATGATCCGTTGAAGTTGGAACGGCACAGAGAAGTGTTTTTTTTTTAGTGTCCTCTCAAAAAATTCAAATTCTCGAGTCTTACTTGCAATCGACTTAAGAGACCGGGGTCCTCAGCAATACTCTCGAGAGTATCGAGACATACTGGACGCATCATCCAGCTTATAGCGTACAGGCTCACGTCTGCAGGATACAGCGAAATAAGATTAGCATTGTCCCTTTGCACCCTTTGCAAGGATGAGACGCATAAATCGATCGAGAAATAATCCAAATGAAATACAGAAGAATAGTGAAAAAAAAAAAAAAAAAAAAAAAAAAGCAATCCACGATTAGCGGTAACGCGTGCCTGCTGCCCTCAGCCGAATAGAGCGCCGGTCACTGCAGCTGCTGTATTTGGGGCAACTTTCAGTCTAGATACGGTGATAATGACATGCCCTGGGCGTTCTATTCGTTTGAAGACGGCAGTCTATAATCTGCTCCTGGTAACACACAATTTACACTCCACATTCCGCTCCTCCACTAACAGTGTTGAGTTGAGTTTCCTCCACTCTTGAATCTGGACTTTCTTTGTCGAGATGTGCGTTTGAGGAAACTCAACGGAACGGACTTTTTGCACATCTCCACAAACACGTCCAGATTCAGGCGTTGAGCAAACTCAACGCTGTCAGCCACCAACGTTGGGATCATGCTTCGCAATTTCGCAAACCAACCTCAAATGTTACCGTAATAATTATAATAACATAACTACTGGACATTTGTTTGATGGATCCATCGACCCCGATCACTACGACGCAAACCAGAAGGATCATGGAAAATAACCTTCCCCACAGACGCAGTAGAGAATGACTCGATGCAATTATATCGTAGCCAAGTGATAAATGACTCAATGCAATATCGTAGCCAAGTGATAAATGACTCAATGAAATTATATCGTAGCCAAGTGATAAATGACTCGTTGCAATTATATCGTAGACAAGTGATAAATGACTCAATGCAACATCGTACGATTCGTAGGCAAGTGATAGCACTTAAGAGCATATTAAATAAATGAGACGCATCAAGGAGAGAAGAGAGAAGCAACAGACAAAGAAGAAGAAGAAGAAGAAGAAGAACCAAGAGGAGAAGAAGAAGAAGAAGAAGAAGAAGAAGAAGAAGAAGAAGTCCCCCGAGCGCATCAGGTCGAAAATATTTATGATAAACACAGCAGCAAAAGTTGGTGTAAACTGTAAAGCTGCCATAGACCTGAACGTCGTGAAGCACTCTGGCGATGACCACACAGCTGTTTCGGCTGTTCCGCTTGTGTACCGGCCCTCCTCAGGGGTTGCGCTTAATGCACAATCACATATTATCGCGAGTAGACGGAAAAAAAAGAGAGAACACCGACCGCATGTTACTCGATGCAGCAATGCTTATTTGATGTCCATCACGATTTGCATAATTACTCAAATGTTTGTTTGATGGATACATCGACCGCGATTCCTACAACGCAGAGTCGCAGACCAGAAAATTTGAGAATCATGGAAAAAAGCCTTAGTCACAGAAAATGACGAAAAGCAAAATCACATATCCCCGAGCGAGTAGACCCAAAAACGAGAACACCAACCCCACACTACTCAATGGGTGCTTATTTGATCTAAACTGTCTATACATAATACATCCATCACGATTGATTAAACGCAAAAAAGAAAAAAACGACGATCAAGGCGTACCACGGTACCACCGGCCCTCTTCAGCTGAAATGATAACTGCCCTACCCTGAACGTGGAAAGCGAAATCGCATATTATCACGAATAGACGAAAGCGTCCGAACTCACCACAGAAAGTGACGGAAACTTCAAAAAATGTTTTTTTTTTTTTTTTGACCGAAAATATTATGAAATATTATAACGAATAGACGAAACGAAGGGCCACGCTGCACTACACAGCACTCTACATGCATTTGGGCGCTTTCTGGACCTGACGCATTGAAAACGTTGGACTCGTCCGAGTGCACTTGGTCCAGAAAGCGTCCATATTCATGGAGAGCGCTGTGTAGTGGAGCGAGGTGCGAAGAAAAGACAACGCGCAGGTAAGGTATGTGCCAAAAACAATTGACAGTGAAGCACACACAAGTGACACAACATGAACCTGATGACGATGGACCCGACACGTGGCGGCTGGTTTCCGTCCTCGCGAGGGGTGAAAAGGTGAAAACTGAGAAAAGTAGTTGCAGCGGGTTTAACGTCGTGACCTCCCGCGTAGACGTCGAGTCTTCCTTCGACGAATTGAGCGCTAATTAAGGAGTGAACCCACGGGACTCTCCTTTCCCTGGCCCAATGGCATAACTGGCTAATGCTGAAAGGATAACTCCGGGTTGAATTGTGAGGTCCCCGGCCTCAAATTAATTGTTTGGAATAATGATGAGTGTGGTTTTGTTTTAAAAAAATAAGAAAATATTGGCGAAGGGCGAGCGCCGAGCGGTGACGGCCGGAGGTCCACTTTCAAACTCATTGAAAATGTCAGCGAAGACCCGAAGGCCCGAAGGGTGAGCGGTGACGCTCACAATTCGGGGCTCGTCACACGGCACACGAAACGAAAACCAAACGATTGCATCTTCCCACCAAAATGTGGCAATATACATTATACAACGTACGGTGATTATAGATGAATTTGGTGCATCGTTTAGTCTAAATTCGGCTAAAATCACCGTACGTTGTATTCGGGGGAAGACTGTAGTCACGTGGTAAGCCCATGAATCTTCCGGGTTTCTGTCCAATCATGCAGTCCTTTTTTAGCCCGTTTCGCGTGCCCTCTGGTGTGGCCGACTACTATGGCTCATATGAACGTTAGAAGCTAACACAGAGGAGAAAAACAACACCCTACAAATGAGATACTGGTAGGAACGCGAAAAACAAACGAAATAATGAGATCTGATGCTACGGACCATCAAACGTATTCGTGAATGAACTTGTGAATGAACTTCTGACGAGCTCCTAAGGACCTCCTACCGTCCTCACCCGAATAGAACGCCCGGTCATTATCGCTGCATCTGGACTGAAAGCTGGGCCAAATGCACCTATAATGACCGGCCGTTCTATTCGGGGGAAGACGGTAGTGACCTCCTAATGACGAATCGCCGACGTTTGACCTCTCTATAACAAGTCGCAATGGGTGGCTGTAAGTAACAGCCACGTCACCGGATCAAGTCTGGATGGAAGGGAACATAAAATATGACGTAATTTAACATAATAATGTAATATGTAGACGAGAAACAAACTTCTTTTTGGGAAATTTTGTCTATACAGGGGACCCCTGAAAGGAGAAATTGAGAGAAGAATATAGCTTAGTTTAAAAGAGAATAGATGAAGAAGAAAGTGATTTAAGGGAAAAAAAATAATAATAAGGAAAAAAAAAAAAAAAACTTTTTTTGTCTTTTTACGTCGACTACAGGGAGGGGGAGGGGTACGATAGGCAAGCAACAGGAGTCACAGGACCTTTACCAATTTCAGAGATGAAGCATTCGCCGCAGCGATGACTTCAGCGGGAGGCTCAACCGCGTTCTCCTTTCGAGGATACTCTAGGTGCCACTCTGTATTGTTGATTCCATACCCAGAAGAAACGGGTACCGTTCCCACCGCCTCGAAAAGATCGTCGATGCTTTTCTCCGTCCACGCACCGAACGAAATTTCCCCCTCGGTCAACGCCGCCGCAGCTGCAGTGAACAGCTCCGTTTGACTTGTACGAGCGGCAAACCCATCAATTTGCGCTCTCAGACTGGACGTATGCGCATAGTGGTCGACTCCCTGTTGTTCTTCGTGTGGCCTACCGGCAGTACCTGCTTGTGGATCGTATTGTTGTTGACGCATCGAGTTTTCCTGTGTCTGGGACCAAATCGGACAAAGAGGTCCACGACGGGACGCCGCCGCAGCGGTCTCTTCGTCGCCCCCCCTCCATCCTTTCGCCGACAACCTGTCAATGAGCGGGAGCCAACCCACCTCACCCTGCGCTATTATGGGACTCCCTCCTCCTCCTCCTCCTCCTCCTCCTAACAATCCCTCTTTGACTGACCAAACTCCATGTGGAACCAATACAGGGCTGCCCGCGCGATTGTTGTCGCTGGAAAGGTCTGTCGGCGAACGGTTTTCCCCGTTCCATCCATTACAGACCCTACCGAGACCGAGCACCGATCCTGCCGAAGCGATTCCGTCTTCCGCCGCGGTTGTTGCTATTGCCAGCGTTTTTCGCTTGTGCCCGCTATTATACTGGTCCTCCATCCAAGCCTCCTCCACCGTGGTTGTCTTGTCATGACCTATCGCCATGGCTCGGCGCTCCGATGCACGACCCGAATCCTCTTGCTCCGCCATACTCTTTGGCGGTGGGGAACTCCGCAATGGCCAGGGACAGACGAGAGAAGCGAGGTCGTCCATTGATGACGGGTTTCTATAAGAGCTATAATTGTAATCAGAGTAGTCACTACAAGTCGTAGAAAACGGATTCCGAAGCGCAGAAGGCGCATCCGCTCTAGGCAGAGATGGTGACGCCGGGGAAGAGGGCGACATCATGCCACGTGGCACGATGGTCATGGCGGCAAGGTCGGCATCTGGGCGAGCGGCGGCCGCCGTCGCACACACGCAGCGGTAAGGCTCAGGACTCGTCATCTCGTTCGCGGCGACACCTCGCGTCGCTGAAGAGGCAACGCGCCCGTACGGCTCATTCAAATAGGAGAGCGGAGGTGGTCGGAATACTCCCACGGGAGGAGGTGCCGATTGCCGCCCAACGGCAGCAGCAGCCTCTAGGGCGGCCGCCGAATCTGCCGCCGTCGTCCTTTCGGTTTTCAAAGGAAACAGGTCTATGCATTCTGACTCCTCCCACCGACTCGGAGGAGGTATGGCACCCAATCGTCCGGTCAAACGGAAGGCGTCGTTTGATGACTCAGGGAGGCGGGTGAAGTCAGTGCTCGCGGTTTGTGACGGGGCAATAAAATTGGGAGGAGGAGGAAGACATCCCCCCCCCCCAGTTATGTCCCATCATAGGAACAGACGTACGACCACCACAAGCCATCTCTGCGAGGGCGAGATCCGACCGCGCCGAAGGATGGCTATCGTTTGGAAAAGTGTCGTTCGCCAGCAGCGGGTTTAACGTCGTGACCTCCCGCGTAGACGTCGAGTCTTCCTTCGACGAATTGAGCGCTGAGCAAGGAGTGAACCCACAGGACTCTCCTTTCCCTGCCCAATGGCATCCCCTTTTCAACAATGGAGGCCGGGACTCACTGAAGAAGCTTCCTTCTCCTCCTCGTTCCGCTGAACCACTGCTCCAACGGCCGAGATCATGCAAACTGTCGGACAGGGAGTTGCGCTGACCGTCATTATAACTGTTGACGACACCGCAGTCAAGTGCAGCGGCTTCAGGAGACACCCGCGAAGCGCGGGCACTTGACTTCGATTCCAGAATTTCGCGCTCCCGTCGGTAAGACCGCTGCTGTAGGGGAAAGCCGTAGTCCAAGGAGACTAAGGGGGCTCGCGACGAACCCCGCTCCCTGCTGCTGCCCGTCTCCTCCAGGGGCTGATGCAACCATTTGCGATTGTTAACGGAACTCTGACCGGCTGTCCAGGCACTCGACAACTCGCTGCCACACGCCTGTGCGGCGCGCGCCTCCCTAATTCCCCGAGGAGGAGCTCCGGACCACAAGGTCAGGTTCAGATCCAGCCTCCGTGATTTCCGGTTTCTAACTAACGCGCCTTCATGCGGCGAAAGATTTCCACGTCCGGTCACAGACCTCTCGCGCCAGGAGAGTCCCAGGTCCGTCATTGAGGTCGAAGTTCCGTCAAACGAAACGGAGGGCCCAGGCTGCTGGACACGGATGGCTATGGCGGCAACTTGGTTGCTCGCTCCACCCAATTTCAACGGGGGCTTGCTCAGTGAGCTCACACCAGTCACACCTGGTTCACTGTCATACACCCGCCCAACCCTCTTCTCGTTCTCTCCCACACAATCACTCTCACCCACTTCCTGTCTTAGTAATCATACCCGTAGCCTACCCCAACCGACTATCCGGGACTGGAGCACTCGCCGTTGGAAGCAAGAATCCCACCCAAGCTCTCGATGAGATTGCATTACTTCTTGCAGAGCCTAGAAGGGAGGACGGACCCCTGTGCACTTCCCCGCACGCTGTCTGCTACTCTCTCTCTCTCTCGCTCACACGCAGTAACCTAACGTCCTCAACCACACAGTCTGTCTTACCTATCGACGTCCACTAATCTACGTACGCTTCCCCTGGATTCCAGAACCGGACCCACTCTACTACAGTCTCCCCTCTCTCGCTCACACGCAATCTTCTTCAGCTCTTCAGTGAGAGAGACGATCGGGCTTATCCCTAAGTTAACCTACCAACCGGCTCATTGCATGCCCTCTCTCGCAGAGGGATGGCGGCGCGCGCCGTAAACTTCCGAAGGCGATGTCGTCGACCTCCGAGGGCGATGTCCGCCGATGATCGCCCTAAGCGCATGGCTTAGCGCATCCCCTCTCGCAGAGGGCTGGCGGCGTGCGCCGCCCTCGCCTGCGGCCGTCGATGATGGGTGACTAAAACGAGCGCCGCTTGTAAAGAGCGCGACGTGCTTAACGCAGCAGCCGCCAGGTGGCCGACACTGCATGCACCATACGACTTCCCCCACCGGGACGACGGACTGCCGATGTGTCGCTCCTCTCGTCAGCTACCATCGTCTTGGAAAGGGATATTCGGACGTAACATGAACGACCCACTCTGCGGAGCCGCCCAAGCCATACCGTACTGTCCACCAGGATTACGTTTGCCTATACGGCGTATACCCTACTACTAGCCTACTACTTTTGTACAACATGGAAACTCTGTCCTTCGGACATCCGTTGAAACTGGAGCGATATAGAGCAGAAGATTAGCATGGAGCCCGCCCAAAAAGAATTAGGAATTCTGTCGAATATATTCGCCGGCCGAGGCGTACTCCCCGCCGTTGGCGCACCTCCTGACTCTGTGTTGTTAAACAGAACCATGCCCGATGGAAGAGCGCGACCAGCTGACGTCCGCTGGGCGCTCACGGATCGCGAAGTCTCTGGAGTGCTTGCTTGGCTGTCAGCAACGTGGAGTCGTGGACGCACATTTTGGCGGCTCTCTGTAGAAGGGCCTAGGACAGTCCTTTCGTGGGAGCAACACGTGCTGGGAACAAATGCTCCAGTCTATTCGTGCGGAGCAACACGTGCTGGGAACCGGGCTCGGCGTCCTAGGACAGTCCGAAAGGGCACACACACACTCACCCTCGAGCGCCTCGCCGTCAGCTACGCGAACGTACACTCTGGCGACTCCGTGGCAATGCTCGTTTTTTTTTTGTTTTTTTTTTTTTTTTTTTTTTCCCCTTTTAAAACACTTGAGCATTATTATATTTCAAACCAATTAAGCAAT